CCAAAAAAGGTATGGAGGGTATATTAAGTTCGTCATTCCGTTTGTAACTCATCGAAATAATCATTTTAGACCCAACAAAGTATATATATTCTTGATCAGCGTAAAATTCTAAGACGATTTAGCCCTGTCCGTACGTCTGTCCGTCTGTTGTAATCACGCTACAGTCTAAACGAATTAAGATAGGAAGCTAAAACTTTGCACAGATCTCTCTTTTGTCTGCAGGCAGGTCAAGTTCGAAGATGGGCTATATCGTTGTATAGCCCCCATATAACGGTACCCCCGATATTCGGTATTTTGATGATGTTAGCCACATTTTTCAATGGAATTGTCTGAAAATCCACACAAGTAGTTCCTTGTGGGTACTTTATAACTCGGCAGAGAATTATCTATATAGGTCCACAATATCGTATAGCCTCCATATAACGGTACCCCCCCGGTATTCGGCATTTTGATGATTTTAGCCATATTTTTCAATGGAATTGTCTTAAATCCACACAAATAGTCCCTTGTGTGTATTTTACCTGCTCAAAAGAATTGTCTATATAGGTCCACGATATCGTATATCCCCCATATAACGGTACCCCCCCCCCCCCCCGATATTCGGTATTTGATGATTTTACCCACATTTTTCAACGGAATTGTCTGAAATCCACATAAGGAGTACATTGTGGGTACTTTATACCTCGGCAGAGAATTATCTATATAGGTCCACAATGTCGTACAACCCCCATATAACGGTACCCCCCCGATATTCGGTATTTGATGATTTTACCCACATTTTTCAACGGAATTGTCTGAAAATCCACATAAGGAGTTCCTTGTGGGTACTTTATACCTCGGTAGAGAATTATCTTTATAGGTTCACAATATCGTATAGCCCCCCATATATCGGCACCTTCCTATATTAAATATTTTAAAAGAATTTTTATTGGATTTAATTTTTTTGAAAATTTTCTAATTCGTTCCAAATGGTGGAGGGTATTCAAAGTTCGGCCCGGCCGAACTTACAGCTTTTTTACTTGTTTTTTCTAAAAATGTTTCAAAAAATTGCTATTTTCCAAATAAAAATGTTTTTGCTTGTGAAATTGCTTGTAATAAGAGAACTTTCTTCTCATATACAAATTGCCTTTATTTCCCAGCATGATATGGGGAGCTTAGTAACCATAGTGCTTTCAACATTTCGGATTTTTGGAAATGATTTTTGTTATACCCTCCACCATTCTATAGAGGCTATATTAAGTTTGTCATTCTGTTTGTAACTCCTTGAAATATTCATAATAGACCCTACAAAGTGTATATATTCTGGATCAGCGTACGATCTAGCGCAGTCCGTCTGTCTGTCTGTCTGTCTGTCCGCCTGTCTGTTGTTATCACGCTATCTTTCGAACGAATTGAGATAGAAAGCTAAAATTTTGCATACATGCATAGGTTTTTTGGAATTTTTCAATTTCCTTCGAAATGGTGGAGGGTATTGAAAGTTCGGCATTGCCTAACTTAATGTTTTTTTTTACTTGTTTTATTTAACTTTGGTTTTATCTCATTTGTCCATCATTATAACAAATCAAGTCAAGTGAAGATCAACACAGTGACGGCAGCAGCCGTTAAATTAAAAAATGCATTTGCATGCCGATCACAAGAAGAGTGTTAAACGAACTTAAAGAATAAAAAAAAAAACCAGCCCTGTTGACAAAATGCAAATATTTTTAAACAAAAAGACCGGAATTTTTCTGGCGAAGTCATTATTTTGTCCATGAGCAGAAGCAAATCTATATGCGATAATACTTGTGTAAGCGGGAGAAGAGAAAACACGACCGTATCGTAGGGCTGTTGATTCAATTCTAATTTTATTTTTAAAATATGTTCCTTACGTACTACTGAAACTAATCTAACTTAACCTAGTCGCAGCCACACAATTGTTCTTATCTATTATTAGATTTAAAAGAAACATTGCATGGGTGCTTGTCCCTTCATTCAAGTGGTCTTGGCTATCCACTGTACGCATCGATACTGTGTGTGTGGGTCATGACCTTTATTATCTTACACATTATCGTATGCGACAGCGCACAAGATCACTTAATTCTACACATGTGATATTTTATGACCGCTGGGAAACTGATAATTTGGAAATATTTATTTTTAATTGTTGGATTTTCCCAGCGCCTCAATCTCACTCAAAAGTATGTACAAAGTATTTTGTACAACTTGAAAAATTAAGATGTTGAAAATCATATATAAAAATAATAAAATCTAAGGGACAAAATAAATTTTCTTTAAAACAAATTAATTTTAATTTCCCAAGAAAAATTATTGCATTCTAAATGTGGAGCTTTTAATACTCATAAATTATGACTGACACTTTTAAACTTTATTTTCATTTTCCGTAAATGTCACAAAATGCTGGGGAATAATAACAAAATGTTTAATGCCCCAAAAAAAATCATTGACACCAATTTTACATTGTTTCCATTTTCAAACCCAATCATTTTATTAATCTTTTGATGCAGTGAACGTTCACATAATGTCACACATTTTGTTTATTTAAGATTTTTTGAATTTTTTCTTAAATATTGAAATTCAATATTCTAAATTGTTATTAGGTAGCAACATCTTTGGATAATTTGAACGTGTGAATACCTAATATTCATGGAATTTCAATAAATTTTTTGTTGTTCTACAACACGTTCTGTTCTATTTCAATTAGCATAATTTTAGATCAAAGATCTACAAAACAAACAGACCGGTTCAGAACAATTACCTTAGAACGCCATTTAATTATGCGAAAGATTGGCAAAATATAAAGCCTTTTCATTAGTTTAAGGAATTTTTAAGGAAAGAGGGTGATTAAATCGATAGCTAAGGGCCAGTTATTTTATATATTTTTATACCCTCAACCATATGGCTCGAGAGGGTATATATCATTTGATACGACCAAAACGTGCCTCATCGAAATAACGGTCACTTTGGACCAAATCCTAGGTCACTTTTGGACACTTGGAGTCGATCTAACGATGTCCGTCCGTCACTTCGTTTGTCTGGCTGGTGCGGACGATAACTCTCGAAGGGAGTATCCGATTTGGTCCAAACTTGGTACATCGTAATATTATGGTCAAACTTAGATCGAGCTCGGAGATGGGCAATAGCGGTCCACTTCTACTGGTACCTACCCCATAAAATCGAAATTTTCAAAAAAAAATATATATATTTACTGCACTGAAAGAGAAAGGTTGAACCGATTTTGCTCCAATATCACAAATCCTAATATTTGCATCAGTGCTAGGTCAAGTGCGAAAATGGAAATCATCGGTCCACTCCATTAAGTACCTCCCCCACAAAGGGTCAAAACTTTGAATAATTATAAATCTTATAAAATGGGATGTAAAAGTCCGATTGTCTTCAAATTACACACATCACAATATTTAATTAACCCAAGGTCTGGTGTCAAGATGGGATATATCGATCCAATCCTTCTGGTACCTCCCGCACGAAGGGTCAAAATATTGAATACTTGTGAATCTCATAAAACGCGAAATTAACATTCGATCCCATTCAGACTTGGCACATTTCAATATTTCTATCAACACAAGTTCTGTTTTAACGATAGTAGAGATCGGAGCATTCGTTCTGGTACCTCCCCCACAAAGGGACCAAATTTTGAAAAACAAAACGCTAAAAGTGTGGACTAGAAATTTTAAAGTTTCCTCCTTCTAGAGGATGCCACCATTCCAGGCCTCTAATTCCTAAAAAATACCAAATGAAATCCCTTGCTTAATTACTTATCATGGTATCCTGTAGTACAATCCCTGTATATACTCAGTATCCTCTCGTATTTAAGATTAAGAACTTATCGACGTCCTCGCAATAGAATCTTACTTCAGTACTTATCTTATTCTTTGTTGAGTCGTCGTTAAGGATTGAGTACTCATTATTACGCTAAGTTCTCGCAAGGTAACCTCAATTAAAAAATTAATTTCCAGCTATACATTTCCTGTAATTTACCTTGTCGAAAATTAACTTCATTGAAAACAAGTTCCCATCTGTGATTTACATGGGCCCAATTGATTTACGATTACTCATTTTTGGAAAAATCTGGAAAAAACTTAAAATTTTAATTTCCCAAAATTTCAGATATACGGGGTCTACGGAATCCATCCGTGTCCTTACTAGAGTACTTTTAAAGATTGCTTTTATTAGAATCCACCCGCATCATTCTTGAGTAGTTATAAAGGTTCTCTTTCTAGAATTTTTCATTATATTTGTTTGAGTAGTCTAAAGCTTGTAGTATCCTTGTTTTAGTAACTATTACGATTTTTGCTTTAGAGCAGCGCATTCTTGCCGGAGTATTCTTGTGGGAACATTACAAAAGAAACAAACCTTAATAAAATTGGAGTCCGAGAATTGACATTTAACGATGTCGTTTAACAATAGCGCCATCCGTTAATGTGCCCACTTACCTTACGTCTTAAAATGGATTTCTTTTGTAGTCTTTGATAAATTATTTTTTTTCTGGAAAGAAGCGCGGCCGCGGCTAAATATAAAATTATCCAAAATCCCAAATTGAAAACATTCACAAAACAACTACTTTTTTGCCGAACAGCTACATAGGAGATCTTGCATCATCATCATACATTGTTCTAGATTTTGTTATACGTTTTTTTTCTTGATTGATACCTGTCATGATATAAATTGTAAAAAAATTACAATATTTGATTTTATTGTTTTTTTATTTAAATTTTTAAATAACTTGGTTAATACATAATATATTTGTAATATATCATTTTTTTTGTTTTATTATACTTAATAACTACCAAAAAAAATAATATTGATTTAGTTTTCTTTTGTGTTCTTTTATGTTTTGTTTATATCATTACTCTTGTTTTTTTTTTCTTTCAATTATTCCAGAAAGTGTCTCGTTTTACAAAGTTTGGATTATTTTGTTATTATTATTCAATTTTATTTTGAGTTTTTTTGTATGTTGATTTTTTATTTTACTGCGTTGCGCATTATTTTTTTTTGTAGCTTATTAAATAAAGTACATTGATGATGAGGGGGAGAGAAAGAGAGAGAAAGAATAATTGGTAATTTAGGGGAGTAGGAGGAGACCGTTTAAAGGGGTTACGTTCTAATATAAGGGTGTGTGGAAGGTTGTTTAACAAATTGGAATCATATATAGGGGTATTTTTTGTTTTTTATTTGCTTTGGGCAAAATATATATTATAAACATAAAAATAATATTTTAAAATAGTAATAATAATAGTAATATAAACAATTATAATTATTATCCATAATAATTATTTAAACGAGAAAAAAAATTTTATAGCGGCAGAATGGGAAATAATAGAAGCAACTATTTATAGCAAAATGAATTAATAGACAATATACAACTAAAGCCAAGTGCTTAATTTTAAATATAAAAAAAAATATAATTTAAATAAAAAAGTTAGAAGTTGAAAAGAAGGACCTTTTTCATTAAAATGCTGTGGGTTTTGGTGAACCCTAGGATTCCTTTGAAATTGTGAGGTAAATAGAAGCGATGCGGGATATCTTAAAAATGGACATAACTGAAATAACCGCCGACTTTCTTCAACGAAAATGTTTCAATCACAATTTTAAGTATATGTCCATTTTTAATTAAATTATTTAGATCGCATAAATTCTTTTTACATCCCATACGAATAGAGACCTGTAGTGGAATTTTTTAACTCATTTTTTGAGTTACCGACAAAAATATATAATTTTGAATTCCAAAATTTTGATATTAAAAATTAATTTAAAGTTTAATTTTAATTTTACCGTCTTTTGTTGGTAACTGAAAAATGAGTTAGAGAATTCCCCTACTGGGTTTGTGATCAATATTTGTAGTTTAAGGTTTAGAACATTTGCAAACATAGGTAGGTAGATAGGTTCGAGGAGAAAACTAGCAAGGGCTTATTTTTCGTTTTGTTTTGTCGACATTTTTGTTTTGTATAATTTAAGGCTATAATTATTTTTTAAGTTTTCAAATTTTGTTTTAATTAGATTTCCAAAAGATTTTTGCTATGTGTATATGTATGTACGTATGGTTTGTGTGAGTTTCAAGTGATCTATATATGATTATGTTTCTTTACTACAAAAAAATAACAATTTGGTTGATTTAGTTTTTCATTGTTGTTCTTGTTGTTAATACTTTTTACAAACTATGGACTTGTTTAAAAAAGATTTTGGAAATTAAAATAGTTTCGTTTTATATTTTTGTTTTGTTCATTCATTCGTAGTTTCATTTTAGAATCATTCACTCACGTTTACACACACATTTACTAAAAGGTAATTTTCGAGTAAAGCGACCCGAAATTGTGGAAGTTAGACAGGAAGTCAACGAAAATTGAAAAACACAAGTCCTTTGACATGCATAAATAAATTGAATCGCTTCACTTTTAATGTTACCTCATATTTTCTATTAAGTTAAACATTTGTTCTCACTCTATTTAAAAAGTGTTTGTTTTTATGGGTTTTAAACATGCTTGTGATTTGTAGAATAATGATCGATTTGATTAATTTTATTGAGTGCCAAAAACATGTACTAAATACTCGGGTATCTGCAAGGCTATAAATTTTTTGTAAATTATGCAAAGCTGAATGAAAGTAAAAAAGTATCGGTCGGTTTTCCTGACAGATGTATACCCTCAGCCAATGTTCGATTACTAAAAAATATTTTGTCCTCTGTTATGATTATATAAATTTTTTGACCCTCTATGGTATTTTTTTTTGAAAATTTTAACATGTGCGTGAGGTACCAGATTTATTCAACCGAAGTATTCCATTTTCATGCTTCATCTAATACAGATAAAAATATTGGCATGGGCAAAATTACAAGAAGATCGAACATTTATATAAAACTTATGGGAAATCATAAATTTCATATTCATCTCAGGTTTCTGATTGAGAGTCATATATTTAGATATAGCAAGTTGGAAAGAATCGCTGAGTTGTTTCGCAATTTATGACAGATAAAACTATTGAAAATTGTGACCCTTTCTGAGAGAGGTACTTGAAGGAGTTCGCAGATATATAGCATCGTCACAACAGATCTTGTGTTAGCAAAAATGTGTGAAATATAAAGAGAACCTGTTGCTTATTTCGGATTTTAGAAACGTTTTGGTTATTCAAAACTTTGAACCTTTGTGGGGGAGGTACCAGAAGGAATGGTCCGATATCCACCGTCTTTATAACAGATCCTGTGTTGATAGAAATATTCAGATATGCCAAGTCTAAATGGAATCGGATGTTAATTTCGCGTTTTGTGGCCTTAATGTATATTCAAAATTTCAACCTTCTGTGGGGGAGGTGGAACTACCATAAGGAGTGGACCGATATACTCCATATTAATACCAGACCTTGGGTTAACATGAATATTGAGACGTGTGAAATTTGAAGACAATCGGACAAAAACATCACATGTTATGCGAATTGTAATAATTCAAAATTTTTACCCTTTGTGGGGGAGGTACTTGATGGAGTTCTAATTTTTACTTACAATTTCCAGTCAAAAGAATAAAATCTTTGCTTGTAGAACGGACGAACAAAAATAGACTCTATCAAGTCTTTATCCAATTCAGGTCTAGAGTCTACTTTAAAAGATCACAGAAATTCCTCCACATAGGATTGTAAAAATGTTTAAAAATGGGTTTTTATAAAGTCCGACATAAGAAAAATTTTGTTTCAATCTATACATTGGAAATACATCATTATATTAAAAATCGTAATATTTTTATGAAGTTAAATTTGTCATCGATGTACAAAGTAATCGGGCATATAGCATATATAGGAACTTAATATATAGGAACTTAATTAAAAGTCCTTTTTTAAACGTGTTAGATCGATATTCATCGACCTCATTCGAAAAAGCTCAAAACATTTAATACGGGGTTGTCAATTAGTCAGTGCCAACTTTTCGACATTATTAGATGTCAAAGTACTGTTAAGATCTTCAAACTATTTGACATCGGAAGATACTGTTATACGGAGATCTGTAAAAAGGGAACTGAGATATCAACAAAAACGTACGACAGCACTACCCAGTTGAAATACCTTAGAAGAGATCTTTGAGTACAATTTCAAGAAACATATTAATACGAAATGTTAATTTTCTGCACGTAAATTTAATGGCCAAAAAATCCTGAAATTTACTTTCCACGGCTTCCTTTCTTTAGTTAAGTTTTAGCAGAAGAGTTCGATTAGAATAGCTTGTTTCGGCACAAAATAAAATTAATCGAATCATTTAGTTACCACGAATGCATGTTTATAACCTTTTTGCGTTTAGTTTAGATTTTCACAAAGTTTTTTTTTTTTTTTGCTATTTTTTGCCCGCCCTATTCAAATGTAGTTGGAAATTGATTATTAATTGATATTGATCGATTTTTAATAAATAGTTGAAAAAAAAAAAACAATTGAAAATTGTCTATAAAACACGTGTTGTTCCAGAATCTAATAGTTTTAAAAATTTTCGATATCTTAAACGGAAAAAGTAAAATATTTTACATTCTTATAGTTCTGGAACAGTGCAATTGAAATATCTGCAATTCGAATTTTTTTATTAAATACATAGTTGAGAAAAAAAGAGAACAATTGAAAATTGTCTATGGAATATTTGCTGTTTCAGAACCTGCAATAATCTTATAGTTTTCCAATGTTTCGATATCATAAAAGGAAAAAGTAATTTTTTACATTCTTGCAGTTCTGGAACAGTGAAATTGTTATTTAATTTGCCGATGAACAGCTTAGCCATTCCTTAAAGGCATTACAAGCCAAAGACTCTGAAATTAATTTCTAGATAATTTCTAGAGAACATTTATGAATTTCCAAATCAATTTCGAACTACATTTAAAAACGGCAAACTCTTGTTGTCTTCATTGAAAAAGTCTTAGTTTTCGTATTTCTTGTTGTTTTAAAAAATAAGCCCTAATAGTTATTGTTGCTATTTTGTTGTTGTTGTTTTAGTGTATTCTTGTAATGTCTTTGTGTGGTTTTTTTGTTCTAAATTATGAGAAGTTGTTTGTTTTTGATGTTAGTATTCATTTGTATGATGGTTGTTGTTGTAGATTCTTTCATTTCGTTTGTTGTTGTCAGTTTAAGCACTTGATGCAATATTTACACGATCGATCTTTTTCAGCAATTGATCGTATGTAGTTGTTGTTGTAGTTGGTTTTGTTACTGTTTTGTTTTGTGTATTGATGATAACGATGATGCTGGTGGTTGTTGTTTGTGTTATTGTTGTTGTTGCTGCTGCTACTGCAGTATTACAAACTCAATTGGCTTGGCCATAATATCAAGCTCCGCCACTTCCAGTTGTAACAGCATCATCACTATCCAAGAAATCACTTGATGCCACCACTTGAGGCTTATCATCACCATCCAAGGATGCAATACCACGATCAACACCATCACTTGGAATATTGTCTAGAAAATCATCAGCTTCTTTCATGTTTTCAATCGATGACGATAGATTGTTACTGCCCGTCGATGCTGAGGCTGTTGCTGCAGGCAATGGAGGGGGCGTTGTTGACAGCATAACCGGTGATGTACTCACCGCAGCTGCGCCATCGCCCATGCCACGTTCAATTGGTATACCACTGACAGCTGTTGGTGTAACCGGCGATGTGGGCAAAGAATCTTGTTGTGAAAATTCCTGATTTGGACTTTCACGGGTGAATAAGCCCATTTTACCGCCCTCCGAAACCATGGTGGCTGGGGTGGCGCCCACCACTGGCGCCGCATTACCTCCCAGCTCATTGCTGGCCACAAGTGATGGTTGACCGGCCGCAATTGGTGCCGGTGGGCCACTCACCAAATGAGGTGGTGCATGTTGAGGATGTGTATTGTGACCCGCCGCCACAGCAGCCTGTTGATGCTGATTGTGGGCATGATGATAACGTGGTATATCAGCCTTACGCCACAGCGTAATTTCTTGCTGCTTAAAGTAACGACGATCTTCGGTATCCATTAACACCAAATTGAGGAAATATTTCACCGAAAACTTTTTATTTATATCACGCATTGTCGGCGTCAAATTGTAGCCAGCCAAGAATACACGTATTGGTATACTCTCACCCTTGACCGGTGCTCCATCCATGATCTCAAACTTGGCAATTGTTTCGTTTTCGGTGAACGTATTTGGCCCACTACCAGTCGATTCCCGTTTTATAATGGCAATTTCCATGTGCTTAATTTTAATGCGTACCAAGAGAAAATAGATTTTACCAATTATTGTATCCTTCAAGTGGTATTTACTCTTGTTGTATTCAAATTCAATGTGCAAACAGTCTTCAATGCCAACTTCCATTTTAATGGGATTATTTACATCCGGATAACTGCACAGGGTGTGAACGGCAATGTCAACCTCTTTTGTTATATCGCTGATGCGTCGTATTATGGTGGCACGCAGGAAATATCGCAATCGAACATTTGAACCATTATAGATTTCGAATTGTTTCTCCACATTGGGAAATTCGAAGGGATAGCTGTTGTTCTGCAGCAGGTCACCGGGTCGTGCCAGAGCTTTGGTAATACACTTGAACTCATGATGATTACCACGATCGTAGAATAATTCAATTTGTCCAATGAATTCTATTTTAATGCCCTGATGTTCCAATTTGCTGCCAGGTTTTTTGAGTGTAACATTCACCTGAAAAGGGGAGGAAAAACAATTATTTTAAAATCATTACAAGAAAAAGATACAAAACATATTGAGTCTGATATGAGAAGTGCTTTTCATGGTATTAAAAGTAGATTTAAAGTAGATTTGTAATAAGTAGATTTTCACAGCTATACATTGTCAGATTTTTTCGGTATAGAATGGGCTTTCAAAAATGTGAAGCTGGAGTCGATCCACAATGATCTATATGCCTCCGACATTTCCTTTATCCCTATTGAATGGCTTGATGGAATGCTAAAATTAATTAAGGATAATCAATTCAAGCTTGGGACTAGGAAAACTGTCAGCGGACTCCGCAAGAAGTTCTCTCACCTCTTTCTGGTGATTAATGAAATGCTTGTGAGTTTCGATCAGCTTTGAATAGATACATTGGTGTTGATGACAAAGTGCGGCTGATGTGTGGTAAATTTCTTTCAACTATTTCAGACCTAATGCAATGTGCACTAGACATCTGTCTGGATCATTGGCAATAGTCTGCTGGTAAAACCTGCAAAGACTTAACTCATACATTTATAAGAAATTAAAAAAATATATCAAATTTCGCTGCCAGTACTGGAAGGGGTTAAACTGAACCTTCCTTCATCCGTAAATACCTGGATACGATCTTGGGTTAGCTTTTAAACTAGAGCACGATGGTCTTTCTACAGTTTAAACGCTGGTCCAAGATTGTAAGAAGAAGGGTCGAATTGCGCTCCATTCATAAAAGAATGCCATAGGGATTCCCCAACCTGCATTGAATGTGCAGCTTAACGTACACTCACTGGATATTTTAGCTGAATATCAAACAGAAAGATGTGCCCTGAGACTACGGTTAGCTGGAGGATGACACTCTTCACTGGTTGGTCATACACGAAACTTGGAAATACCAATAAATCGGAATATCCTAGGTGAAAATAGCACAATTAGTGATTACATGTCCACTTTTTTCGACTGCAACTACCAGTGACTATATTTGTCAATAGTCAGGTGGCCCATACAGCTATCGAGTGCCATTAAATCGACAGCCGTTCTTGACTGCAAGAAAGTCCTGAAATATGTGAATGCATTAAACTTTGAACTTTCTGTTTCTCTCATCGAAGAAGCTGGCCCTAGGAAACCGGTAGCACTGTATCTAAGGTCACCTGGTCGGTAATCTCAAGAAGAAGAATAAGGTCCCTCCTATCACTGACTGCTGTAGACTATGTGAATATGAAGAAAAGGTAGAAACAATTGAAAGTCTGCGATGCAGATGAACCATGTTATACAACAACTCTGCCATTTTTCTCAGACATCGATTCCATCCTCATCTACTAGTTTGCCAAAAGCACTCCTGGCTAGGCAGACATCCCTGCTAACTATACATTTCTCCATTAACTCTGTCTCGTTTCTAAATCTCACCCATCACCAAAAACTTATTGTTCCTATTATGAACACATTGAAGCACTGGTTTCCGAGTGAAGCAGTTGCCGACTCATTTAAAGCTGCGCACCCTTAAACCAAACCATGTGCAAAGTATGAACGAAATCGGATACACCATTCCCCTTGAACCACTACCAGAAAGACTGATATTGCCCATCTTAAAACTTGATCTAAAATTGAAAAAAAAAAATGTTTGGAACGGAAATTTTAGCTCAACCCGGATTCTCTTAGCGAGTATCGTACGGAGAGCATAGCTGATTGCTATCGGATGCGTCCACAGGTTGCGGATAGTGGAAATCCTAGTAGATATCCGGTTTGGCAAGGTTGAAGACCTCAAATACTGACAAGTTTCCTCGCGATCGGCATTGTATTTTTCATTTTCATTGAGCATTACATCGTCCTTTCAAAAAGAATCTAATTAGATTAAGCTACTACAACAATAATTTAATAGAATTGTGTATAGCATATAAGTAGGCAACCTTCAAACTGGAACTTCAACTTAAATGCCATATTTAAAATCTTATCTCCAAAAAAAAAAATAATATCGAAATTAAAACGTGTCTTCTATTTAGCGCATTTGCATCGTCCTTATCATATAGCTTCTAATTGGATTAACTAGCTTATATCGTCATTAAATAAAATTCTAATATTTAAATTATACTGTTTCATATCCACACTAATATGCGTCATACATTGGATGTGCTGGCTGAACAAAACTTTTCGAAACATTGTTATCACAACCAAAAAACATATATGAAAAATCGCATTAAAAGGAGGTCATATCAGCAGCTGCTAAATGGCTACGTAATGTTTCCGTTCCGATATCCTCCACCTCCTCCGCTTCCAACGTTCAACATCAATTGCAAAATGATCGTTGAATTTGCAACTACCATCATCGTCATCATGACAGCTTCCCAGTTAAGAAGCGCATTTTTATGATATTTTCTTAATAGAAATGCTTAGAAACGTTACGATCACCGTACACGGCAACGACAACAACAGCAACAACACAAGAGCATCGACGAGTTTTCAATAAGCATAGAATTGAATGCACAACAAATTAATTAACAAAAACAAGTGTCCGTCTGTGCCGCTGTTGTCATCGTGTCGTTTGCTTTGTCAGCGGCATATGCGTTAGGAAAAAAAGTCCATTCTACCGCAAATATGTGACCGGTGTTCAATGCATTGATATTTGTTTTTAGTCATCCCCTTCGCAACACGGCCCTTAAGGAATTCATTAACCAATTAAACTGCGAATGCCAAAACTCAAGATATTCCTTTTTTTACATAATGCACACACACACGCACGCCGTAACTCTATTTGTTTTGGGTCATTTACCTTTCCGGACACCGTTTCACCATCGTAGTAAAGTAACATTTTCTCAATTTTCCCATCCTCTGCCTTGACCTCAGCAGTTTTCTTTTTTTCAGCACCATCGAAAACAATATCGATTTCAGCCGATTGTCCAAAACCCAAAAAGTTCATGTTGGATCCGTTTTTGTTTTTATTATGCGCAACGCACCGTTCGGAATGTTTCGTATATCAATTATTGGAAAACAATTACAACAAATTAAATGTTTTAACAAAAAAAAGTTGGTAAATTTTTTGGGCGTTTTGTTGAGAAAAAAATTCTTTTGCTTCGTTTGATTAGTTGTGGATTTTTTTTGATAAGTTTGACAGCCAGTGTGGTGTGGCCAGATGGTGGCATTTGTTGGTTGGCAAAATGCGAGGTGGTAAGGTTGTAGTGATGACAATGCAGATGATTTCTTTGATGTGTGAAATGTGAAATATAGATGGCGTTAGCAGTAAACAAGATAGGGAAATAATTTAATTTTAATTAAAGATTATGTACTTAAGAAATTAGATAATTTTTCTTCTAATTAATATACATTAATATATTATTATTAAAAACTGCGATGACATCACCTTAAAATAGGAGCAACTTAACCTGAATAATGAGTTTAGCATCGAGATATTACAGTTCTCTGGTCGAAATTGAGCCGACTTAATTTAACATTTTTAGAAAAAAGGTTTCCCAATGTCACTCAACAACTAAATAGCACATTTTACGAAGATTCATCGTTTATTTGAAATACTATCAAATGAATTTACAATCTGAATAACGTGGTTTTCTAAAATCATAATCGGTGTAAATAAGGCCCTGGATAACAGACTTCTCTACAGAGATATGACTCGTTTTCCTTTGTCCTGGAGAAATTTATGACGTTTTTCATTATTTTTTATGGTGAAGAGTAAAGACTAGTTGCCTGGTAATCTATTTCGCATATAGTCGCAATTTCTTCAGTTGTTTTAATAAACTAAAAAATCACAGGAACTGTTTTAAATTTCGTATTTGAAGTTCCATATAACGGGTTTCATTTAAGTGGTAGTTTTCGGATTTTTTTTTATTATAATAAATTTTTTTAATTAAAAGGTTCACCCCGAGTTTAGCTGCATTTTTACTTAATTTCTCTCTGTCTCCATAATCAGATGGCTTTGTAGTGTACCTTGAGGTCGTAATGGGAGAGAGACGGTCTTCTTTGGTTTAAGAATGCGCAGCTACAAGGAAGTCGGCAACCGCTTCACTTGGATAGGATAAACTGATAGGAGAGATATATAGGCGCGAAAGCAAAGAAACGATACCTATATTGCATAAAGCGGATAAGTGGATCTGGGTCTTGAACTCAGACTTTCGGATCAAAAATCTGGGGTCCCGGGTTCGTCCCCAAAGAAAAAAGTTTCCGGGATCAGGGTAAAATACCTACCTCTGCAAAAAATCGAAGAGTTTAGCAAAAACTAGAGTTGTTCCAGGATTTATATAGAGAAGTATGAGAAATGCTTTTAGATCAGATCTACTAAGTGATGGCAGGGAGCTTGTTCTTCTTCTCGAGATTACCGACCAGATGGCCTTAGATACCTTGCAACCAGTTTCCAAGTGCCATCTTCTACCACCTTCATTGATGAGAATTTTTTTGAGCAGCTGGTATAACAGCTGATTGGTGGTTTAATAGTCTGACCAATCGGTAAATCATTCGACTGGGAACCACCTCGTGTTAATTCATCAACCACTTTCTCACTATGTGAGTTCACATGTTTCAAGGAGAGCTTTCTTGCAGTCATGAATGACTCACGATTTAATTGCATTTGACTAGATAGCTTAGAGAGCCGCCTGACTATGGGCATATACAGGGTGAGATAAAAAAACTGCAACAAAGTCAAACGCCATAATTTTTACATTTTTTTTAAAATTTTATTAAATTGAAGCAGAAAATGTCGAATATAGCATCAAATTTTAGAATAAGTTTAGATTTGTTCGAATTGGTCACCTTTGGTACGAATTATGGCCTTCAAACTAAGCGTCACATTTTGATCTGCGATATTTTGGCCCATTCCCGGCGAAGCGCTTGCTTGAGGTGATTGACACTTTGGTATTTTTTAGTGCCAACCATGCTTTCCAAAATACTCCAGACACAATAGTCCAACGGATTGGTATCCGGAGATTTTGGTGGCCATTGTGCGCTGGAAATGAAGCGAGGAACCTCATTTTGTAACCATTTTTGGGCGGCGCTTGCTGAGTGCGATGGTGCTGAGTCCTGTTGGAATGTACAAGGTTTGTGGCTTTAATACACCCTCCAGAATATTTTTGCGATAATCAGCATTTTTTATGGCGGCCCACACCATCACCATGGTCGGCGCTTGAGTTCTGGTGGCCAACGGAAAATTTTCAGCTGACCTCTTTGGCAAGTAGACATGATCATTTTGTTTTGTTTACCAACTACTGGACAATGAATTTTTTCTCAACGAAGAAAACCAAATTCGGCAGTTCACCACTTTCGGCCAAGCGAAGCAACTCTTTAGCTCTTTTGAGTCTGATCAATTTTCTTTCTGTTGCGGTGTAAGTTCTTACACTTTTTGGCATTTCAATGGCTTTAGCCCGAGCTCATTTTTCAATATTTGCCCAATGGAATATTGCGATATGTTCGCGAGCTCACGAGCCATTTTCGGCTACTGCGACGCTGATTTCGATCAAGTCGCTTTTTTCTTCTGTCCACTTCCTTGACGTCGGGCTATGCTACCAGTTTCATGGTAACGAGCTATGGTACGAGACACAAAAGATTTATTCACAATTAAATGCTGGAGTGCTCCAACGATAGCCACTTGTGGTTTTCCAGCCAAATATAAAGAAATCACACTGTCACGCTGAAATTCCATCACGAATAACTTTATTTCTGGAAAATTCTCACTAAAATGCTTCTGTACGCTTGTAAACAATATAATGAGCTGTCACTGGGATAATTTTAACAGCTGTCGGACGAGTGGTTTTGAAATGACAGCAGTCTGAAGTTGGATGCAGTTTTTTAATCTCACCTTGTATAGGTTAATGTTTTCCTATAGTCCATATACATCGGTACCCCCAATATTCCATATTTAAATCATTTCAGCGTTTGAAGTTCGGTAGTTACAGTTCTTAATGGGCGCTACATTCTTAGGCGGAAAAGTTTCTACATAGGTAGACGTTTTCTTATATTCACCAGAAATTCGGTAACCCGTTTTGCTAATATGTGTGAATCCATCTAAAGCTGAGCTCGTACACAAGGAAACGAAACTATATGGAGTCAATATAAGCCTTTTGGATGTTAGGAAACGTCTTGCAAGAGAAGCATTGACAAAGTTCAAAGCGCAGCATCTTTGCCAGCAGTCTTTCTTCAGTTAGCCAGAGGACTAAATAGGCTTAAGGCGACACATTATTATTATTATTTTTCTTTATCTTTTTTAGTTCCTATCTTGGGTTTTCCGTGTATGGAAACCAAAGTATTAGAAAAAAAACTTTTTTATTTTGCAAAATAAATTTATTAACAATTTAAGTGGCGGAATTATAAAAAATAGACATATATAATTATATTATTATAAATACTAATGAATTATTAGCAATGTACAACAACACAGTTGCATACATACTATGTATATATATTTTATATAACAAAGCATCTTATATAAACAAAATATGTAGAGTAGTAACATAGCAATATAATACTCTTGGAGTTACAAGAATTTCAGACGGATTAACAACAACACAAATCAGATTAAATGCATTTACCAATAACTTTAAGTTTTTTGGTCCATGCCACCGGATCGCTGGCATCTTCCTGTAAATCTTTGCGATGGAGACTCTTGCCCTGGCTCTTTAATTCAGCAAATTGTGCAACAATTGGATCACGACCACATGATGCCACTGCAACAACCTTATCTTGTTCGTTGAGGAAGTAGGCAACAAATTTCAAATTTTCCAAATCTCCTTCAATGACAACATCCGAATAGGCACCATAACCGGAGTAACGGAAACCTTTGCCAAACAGCATGGTGAAGAAGAAGGGTACAGCTCTTAATTCCTCGGGTGATTTACCCACCATATTGAGGGCAGCTACGCGACCATGATATTGGGCCAATTGATAATGGCCGATGGCGGCACGTTCTTGATTGTAAGCGTAAACAGGAGCATTGGCAATATCACCACCAACATAGACATCATCAACCAAAGATTTCAGATATAGATCGGTATCAATGGAGCCATTGTGATTTAGTGGCAGCCCCGAACCCGTCAAGAATTCGGTGTTGAATTTGGAACCAGTACCCATAATGAGTATATCACAGGGAATTTTGGTGCCATCCTTGAGTACAACCTCTGTCACCTGATTGTCGCTATTGCCCAGGATTTCCACAATGCCACTGTTCATGATGCTGGTGACACCTTGATCACGGAATAGGCGTAAAACGCGTTCACCAACCACGGGGCCAAAACTGGCCATCAAGGGAAATTCTGTGCGTGAGACGAGAGTGGTCTGAAAACGAAAGAAATATGCTATTAGTTTTGGAAAATATTTTGCGGAATCAAGTTTTACTTACACTTTGCACCTTCTTGACCCAGCTTTGGGCAGCCTCCAAGGCAATGAAACTGGAGCCCAAGCATACCAAATTGGTCTCGGGTTTAATGAGTTTATTGATCTCCTTGACATCATCATATTCGCGTACAACCACAACACCTTTCAGATCGGAACCCTTAATCGGTGGCTTGCTGGCGGTGCAACCAGTGGCAATAAAGATTTTATCATATTTTAGGGTGGCATCATTTGAAAGTTGCAGAGTTTTCTCTTCACAATTCATTTTGGTGGCAGCCACCCCGAGCAATGTTTCAATACCATATTCCTCGTAGAATTCAGGTTTGCGGAATTGCAGAGTTTCAATTTGACTATCCGAACTCTTGGTCAATTTAACACGATCATAGGGTAAGTGGCGTTCTTTGCAGACCATAACAATGCGACCGGTGAAACCCTCTTGACGCAAAGTTTCGGCACACACTGCACCGGCAGGACCACCACCAACTATTACATAACACACAGAATTGTTGGGATCTCGTTTGACCATATCCTTGAGACGGCGAGCATTTTCCAAATCCTTGCGCTTGGCACGTACCATAACCTGGCCATCAGATTGCACATCAACCTTGTAGCAAGGCAGCGAATCGAGACCTGGAAAATCTTCAATATCACCCGTATCGATGCTGAAACAGGCACCATGCCAGGGACAACGTACACGACCATCACCCAAGACACCAGTGTGCAGGGGAGCACCATAATGGGTACACTTATTGCCAACAGCCTTGACTTGATCTCTCTGTTTGACAACCAGCACTTTGGTGTTCTCGTTGAATTCGAACGACTTCATTTCACACTCCTGCAAATCGTTGACATTGCAGACGGCAACGGGATCGGTGTAGTCGTCAATCATTTTGGCGTCGCAGGTAGATTGATATGAGCCAGAACCAGTTGTACCTGGGCGAAGCAAAACAAAACAAAATTAAACAGAGATAAATAAAAGAGAAGAACACACAAAGAAGAAGAAGAATATGTTGGCTTATTGCTATTCTACGGATTACATTGGAGGAATATTAATGTGTAAGACAGGCAAGCCAAGAGTTTCGTTTTCCAAAGAAATTCCCCTGCTTTTTTCAGACAAACAAACCAGGCAGAAAGAGAGTTTTTTCAGTAAACATCATTTCCATAAAATCTACCTTTCCCCTGAAACTGAACTGGTTAACAAGCAAAGAGCTAGCGATTGGGTTTTTGAATTAGTCATCTTCCAACCGTTGTGGTAGACGGAAGCAAAGACACAAGAAATTGGCAAAATGGACACGGTAAGTCAATGAATATTGACAAGTTAAATTAACAACTAAATTGTTAAATATCTATTTTTTTTTCCAGAACTATCTTCTTTTGTTGCAATTGATTTTGCTGTCGTGGGCAAAGTGGTTACAGGCCTTGCCTTTGGATGGCCACGACAATGATATGTTGAATGAAATTTTCATTGATTTGGATGATGACTCGGATTTGTGGAAGAAACAAAATGCATTCTATGAGCTGAAAAATTCACCAAAGGAAACGGAACCTATTGATTTTGTCATAACCGGTGATATTGAGCCACCAAAAACAAAGGAACCCAATGATATAGCCTCTGAAATGAAAACAACAACAGATGGGCCCATAGCCAAGACAACTGAAGGTGATGGCTTGGGCATTAAGTTATTAGAGGATATTACCAAGACAGCTGATAAAGGTTTGGATAAATTGAAAGATGTTAGCAAATCTGTTGTGGATACTGTATTGAATGGTTTAAGTACAACAACTCCGGCAAGTACCTCAACGAGTACCACCACAACAACTCAAAAACCCAAACGGAAAACTAGCTTTTGGCAAAGTTTAAAATCGATTATTTGCAATGATTTCGATTTGAATAAATCGATTAAAGAGAACGGTAATCCTCTGCAGCCCATCATTGATGCCATCGACACGGTGGAGCATAGTGAAACCTGGAAGAATGTCAATAAATATGCCTCAAAGACGAGAGAAGCCATAATGGAGGGTTACGATGAATTGGGCCATCGATTGGATTCCCTGAAGGATGGCCTGAAGGATTTGGGCAAGAAATTCAATATCTAAGAATACTCCATCGCATTTTTATTACAAATACGAAGATATCAATTAGAATCTATAACCCATTTTCATATCGAAAACATTATTTAATCATCAGATCATCATAATATTTGTGAAATTTTATACATTTTGAATATCGAAAGAAATCAGTGTCCCATGAATCATATATTTTGAATACGTCACACCTCCATATATATTCTTTAAACCGCTGCCTTTCACTTCAATAAATTTTGAATAAATAATTATGTGTTATCTGATTCGACGAATCAATTGGTATGCTCTCCATGAATTGGTGGACATTTTATATTTGTTATGTTAGGAAAATAACTGACCTAGAAACAACTCCCAAACGCAACAGTTTAAGGTAGAATCTTGAAATTTTTTCCCGAGGGCCAGTCTTTGTGCGTAGGCGTGAGATAAGGCTGGGTTTTTGGTACTAAAAATTTGACAAATGAAATGAGCTAGAATTCTGAAATTTGGAGTGATGGAGTGCAGGATAGATATACGAAAAATGGAAATTAGTACTTTAAGGTTACGAATGTTCCAAAATGGTACTAAACTTCTTAAATGGTACCATTTGGTATGGTGTAAATGGATAACTCTAAAAATTTGAAATTAGTTATGAGAACGGATGAAGCTGGAATTTTGAAATTTTATATTGGGGTCTCTCCTGTTGGCGGAAGGTTTGTGATAAAGAGGTGGTTTAAGAAATGTGTACTACAAGTGCACAAAAAGTAATAAATAATACTGTATTTGGTACAATTTGCTATTGGATGAACATATAATGCTTTGAATCAGAATTTTTGGAAGTTGAGCCGCTGTTGATGTGTATCCTGGTCATATGGATATGGTTTCGAAAGTGTGTACTATACGAAAAGTTCTCAATCGTACTATATTTGGTATGAGATGAAGGTAGAGAGCTGAAATCTCGAAATTTGATGTAGATTTCGCTGTTGTTGTCTGTAGTTAAGATATGAAGGTAACTTTGGAAATGTGTACCATAGTTCAAAAAGTACTATTTTTTCTAATTTGTCGGAAATTAAAATGGTTGTTTATAAGCCGAAATTGATGATATTTTTCCGTAGTACATATTAGGTATACAAATTTCTGTTGTTCAGAGACTCCCACTTAAATTTGATCTAGTATATTTCTTCCTTTAAGATGTTCCGTAAAAACTAAATTACAGAGTGAGATGAAAAAACTGCAACCAACTTCAGAGCCACTCGTCCGACAGCTATAAATTAATTTTAATTTGGGTGAGAATTTTTTAGAAAAAAAAAACTTATTCGTGAAGGTATTCAAGCGTGATAGTGTGATTTCTTTTTATTTGGCTGGAAAACCACAAGTGACTATCGTTAGAGCACTCCAGCATTTAAATGTGAATAAATCTTTTGTGCGTCGAACCGTCGCTCGTTACCGTGATACTGGTAGCGTAGCCCGACGTCAAGGAAGTGGACGGAAGAAAACAGCAACATCAGCGGAAATGGTTCGAAAAATAAAGAAGCGACTTGATCGAAACCCGGGTGGCAGTGGCCGAAATATGGCTCGTGAGCTTAACCTATCGCAATATTGAAAAATGAGCTCGTGGTAAAACCATTGAAATTCCAAAAAGTGGAAGAACTTACACCGCATCAGAACAGAAAGAAAATAGACTCAAAAGAGCTAAAGAGTTGCTTCGTTTGGCCGAAAGTGGCCGTGAACTGCCGAATTTGGTTTTCTCCGCTCCGATGAGAAAACATTCGTTGTCCAGCAGTTTGTAAACAAGCCAAATGATCGTGTTTACTTGCCAAAGAGGTCAGCTGGAAATGTGCACCTTTGGTTGGCCACCAGAAATCAAGCGCCGCCATAACAGCCGATGTTCGCTCTCCGCTCGTATTAATGCGTGATATCCGTAGCTTCAGAATAAATGCCGAATATTACCGCGAAAATATTCTGGAGGGTGTATTAAAGCCTTGGGCACGCAAACATTTTGGCCGCAGACCTTGGACATTCCAACAGGACTCAGCACCATCGCACTCAGCACGTGTCACCCAAGAATGGTTACAAAATGAGGTTTCTTCATTTCCAGCGCACAAAAGCCACCAAAATCTCCGGATACCAGTTCGTTGGACTATTGTGTCTGGAGTATTTTGGAAAACAAGGTTGGTACTAAAAAATACCAATTTGTCGATCACCTCAAGCAAGCGCTTCGCCGGGAATGGGCCAAAATACCGCAGAGCAACATTAGGGCTTCGGTTTCATTGGCCGTTTGAAGGTCATAATTCGTGCAAAAGGTGACCAATTCGAACAAATCTAAACTTATTCTAAAATTTGATGCTATTTCCGACATTTTTTGATTTCGTTCAATACAATTTAAAAAAATATAAAGATTATGGCATTTGTCTTTGTTGCAGTTTTTTTATCTCACCCTATATATCCTGTTTCTAACCTATAAATATTTATACGAGAGCTCGAATCTCAATTTTTCTCAAATTGTAGCAGGTGTTACATTACATGCTCTTTTATTGTGTAATTAATATACTAACAATAATAATTAATAATAAAAAAAAAAACAAATAAATAAATAAATGGATAATAAAATGTTTATACTGTCAAAAATCAAACAACAATCAAATGTGTGGGTGTTTTTCAAACAAATAACCTAAATACAAATAATTGATTGTAAAATAACCTAGATTGAAATTATTTCTTTTTTGTTATTATATTGGAAAGTAGGCCAATCAATTCTTAAGAGGTCTATTTGTAAAGAGCGTAAAAGCGCGTAAAAACTACCGCTAATTTGAATACTAAAGATATCGAATTAATGTGTCATCCAAGGGAAAAGTGTGTGGTCAACATTCTTCAGCTTGCCAGCTGCTGTTGAAATATTTTAAAATAAACAGGTTTTAGAGGGTATTTCTAATTGAGGCTAATGACACTTGAAAACGTGGATTTTTCGATATTACTTTCAATATACAGCATACTTGAATTTTTGAAAGTGATTTAGTTTAATTTCATTCTAGGAGATAAAATCTTAAGATTATGGCAATGAATTTTTAAATAGGCTTGAAGCTCATGTCTATGCAGATGTGCCGGCTTCAATTGACGCATTGGAAGACTACATTGAAACATTTATTACCCAGACATCGGTCGAAATGTTGGAAAGAGTGTGCCAAAAATGGACTAACCGGATGGACCATTTGAGGCACAGTCGCGTTCAATATTTGAATGAAAATATACAGGTCTATTAAATATACATGATGGTGTAGGGCATCATTTTTGTCTTTTCTTTACTGCTTTTTGGGACTTCAGTTGAGTTTAGGGGCTATGCTCGGATTGATCTGAAATTTTAACAATATGTATGTAGGTATTCTTTACCTAATTACGGTAAAGTTTTTTTTTCTATAGGTATTCTATGGATAAACGAACTTTTACAGGTCTTCTATTGATACACAGGGTGAGATAAAAAAACTGCAACAAAGTCAAACGCCATAATTTTTATATTTTTTTAAATTTTATTGAATGAAAGCAAAAACTGTCGGAAATAGCATCAAATTTTAGAATAAATTTTGATCTGTTTGAATTGGTCACCTTTGGTACGAATTATGGCCTTCAAACGGCCAATGAAACCGTCACACGCTGCCCGAATGTTGCTCTGCGGTATTTTGACCCATTCCCGGGGTAGCGCTTGCTTGAGGTGATCAACATTTTGGTATTTTTTAGTGCCAACCTTGCTTTTCACCATACTCCAAACAATAGTCCAACGGATTGGTATACGGAGATTTTGGTGGCCATTATGTGCTGGAAATGAAGCGAGGAACCTCATTTTCTAACCAATCTTGTGTGGCGCGTGCTGAGTGAGTCCTGTAGGAATGTCCAAGGTCTGTGGCTAAAATTTTTACGTGCCCAAGGCTTTAATACACCCTCCAGAATATTTTCGCCCACACCATCACCATGGCCGGCGCTTGAGTTCTGGTGGCCAACCGAAGGTGCACATTTTCAGCTGACCTCTTTGGTAAGTAAACACGATCATTTTGCTTGTTTACAAACTGCTGGACAACGAATGTTTTCTCATCGGAGAAAGCTAAATTCGGCAGTTCACCACTTTCGGCCAAGCGAAGCAAATCTTTAGCTCTTTTGAGTCTATTTTCTTTCTGTTGCGGTGTAAGTTCTTGCACTTTTTGGAATTTCAATGGCTTTACCCCGAGCTCATTTTTCAATATTTTCCGAATGCAATATTGCGATATGTTCAGCTCACGAGCCATTTTCCGGCCACTGCGATGCGGGTTTCGATCAAGTCGCTTCTTTACTTTTCGAACCATTTCTGCTGATGTTGCTGTTTTCTTCCGTCCACTTCCTTGTCGTCGGGCTACGCTACCAGTATCACGGTAACGAGCGATGGTAGAGACATAAAAGATTTATTCACTTTTTAGTGCTGGAGTGCTCTAACGATTGCCACTTGTAGTTTTCCAGCCAAATATAAAGAAATCACATTATCACGCTTGAATTCCATCGCGAATAACTTTTTTCTGGAAAATTCTCGCTAAAATGCTTTTGTACGCTTGTAAACAATAGAATGAGCTGTCACTGGAATAATTTTAACAGGTATCGGACGAGTGGCTAAGAAATAACAGCAGTCTGAAGTTGGTTGCAGTTTTTCTCCTGCAATATATTCTTCAGATCTTCTGTAGATACAGGATTTTCTATATGTCTTCTTAAGATAAAACACTTTCTACAGGTCTTCTATGACTAAAATGCCTTATACATGAATTGTATATATAGTTCTTCTAGAGATTGAAAATATTCTTCAAGAGACCACATATTTTCCTATGATAGGGTGGTTTCAACCGGTTCTGGACTAATATATTAATATTTTGGTTCTGGAACTTTTTGAAAAGTCGAAAATGGACTCATGATGGGGTATTAAAATCTATATACCTAACCTTTATAGCTTTTCTAAGTAGCTCCCTTTTTGGGTATAAACGCTAAAGGTACAATGAACGTGGCCTCTAATATCCTATAAATATTATTATTATTATTTATAGAATCTTAGAGGCATAATAATCTTAGAAACATTACTCTCGGTGATGAAAGCTCAACGCATTTAATATTAGAGGCCTTAATGTAAATTATTCAATTTTTATTTTTTGCTGCATAACAATCTCGAAATAACCGGTCACACTGGTCGAGTAAATGGAAACATCTGTTCTGTAAATTCTGCTCTCGTTATTAGAAAATGTTCATGGTTTTCATTTTATTGCAC